AGACATAACTGGTTGAAGACTGTACCACCTCAGTTAACCGTGACCATGGGACCTGTAAAGGGCCCGAAACGTCGGTTTGTTTGAAAAAACAAATATACGCGATTTAAATCCGGAAAAATAGTTTCATTTCCTAAGTGTAATATTTTTAAGTCAACAATTGATTTTTTTTTCTTTGAGTTAATTATTTTTTACAATAATGTCAAGTTCCTTAAGGCAACCTTTTGAAATTCATTCAATCAAATCAATTGATTTTACCCAATTTTTCGAAAACGTACTGTAGCTTCTATTCAATTAGAATATGAAGAATTTGTATTATTTCTAATAGATTTTATAATAAGGACTACCTACTTTAAGGTTAAATTTAAAGTTCATAAGCGTTGATTACAATTTTTTTAACTTGTCAAACAAAAGTGTACGATATTTGGTGCCCCTATTTATATGTCATTATTTTGTCGTAGTTAACTATTATTCTGTTTTTGCGATTTAAATAATCGCTGACTTTATGCTTTTTTTTATTTATGCTTTCTTATTTAATAAATTAAATACACGCATTTTTAAATTGGTACCTCCAAATAAGTTGGTAACTCAAAACCGCTCAAAAGTCTCGTGTTCTTTTCCTTGGGTCTATACATATCCTGTTATTTGTATCTACATCTACACACACCGGCATAACATATCATAATGACCAGAACAAAAAAGTGAGAATATAACATAGTAATGTTTATATAGTGCTAATACGAGCACAGCACCATATCTTTCTATATTAGTTTTGATTATAGTGACCGACTACCTACCGACTCGTAGGGTATACGAGAAGGGCACTATAACCTGTACGCGCTCAGGAACCTTACAAGTTCAGGTTGTGACCTCAGATCAGCCAGTGTACAGGGTTGTTACAGACCTGTCTCTTGACGTCATCCGGTTCTCCAAACGCTAGTGCCCCGGGTCAGCCGCCCCGGGTGCACGTATAGTACCTTCCCGATTTTCCAGATAGGTACCGGGGCTCTAGGCACGCTTACTTCCCGTTATGCATTGCACAACTAGCGGTTACCACCGCTAAGCCGTCAACTCTAAAGTCCACTACCCAACGCCGCAGCAGATACAGACAAAGCGTCGAAAGTCATACATGACTCCTCTCCGTCTTACAGGCACTGCTACGCAGTGGTGCTGTAAGTAATAGGCCGAGCAGCACGTGGGTCAACGTGTGTACATTTTTTTTTATGTATTTATATCATATGGAATGGGGAAGAGACCCGTGGTTTAATTTTTATGGTGTGCTCCTTACACGTCGCCTTTAGAAGAAAACGTCGTTATGTCATTTGAATGTATTTTAGGAAGGTTTTAAGTGTGCTGTTATAATAGTACATTCTGTATTAAGGACGGAAAATAAGAAATTACTAACGAGAGTCTATTAGCAGCCTATTAGTATTAATAACTCGATTTTTATATTTTTTTTACCGTCCGTGATACATACAATGTTTTTCATCACATTTGCGAGGAATTATATACAATATAAAATTAAATATGGTTCACAACATAACAATTATGGATTTGGCAAATGGCGGGTTATTTGTCTTTTTTTTCAATTCTTCCATTTTTTAAACAACTAGAACTAAAATGTTGAAAACAGCAAATAAGCATACAGCCATGATGGATTGTAAAAAAATATACGAAAAATAATTAAAATCAATTATAATAAATTCTTAATAAGAAGTATTTATGTAGCTAAATTGCAATTAAAATTCCGTTTAGATAACTTGATTTGAAGTGTTTAAATCTTGAAGTTAAGTAACCTCCTTGCTTAAACTTGAACCTGATCTATTTATAAAATTAAATTGCTCTTGGAGTCTACATTAATAAAACAAGTATTTAAGTAGAGCTCCTTGTGAAAGAGTTCGTCCAGAGAAGTACTGCTACCTCACCTATTCTTTTTTTTTATTCTAATATAAGTGTGCATTTGATGTCCATCTCACCTGATGGAAAGTGACGATGAGGTCGACGATGGAGCATGCACACCTAGATAATGCCTATTCACTCTCGCCTTGAAAAGGTCCAAGTTATAACGTTCAGGGAACAAGTCTGCAGGCAGGGAATTCCACTCCATAGCCGTTCGCCATATAAATGTGGAAGCGTAAAGCTTCGTGCGAATCTTTGGAATATCCACAATATAGGGGTGGAACCCAAGCCTACGCCTAGTCCCCCGATGATGGAAAGGGGAAGGTGGAATATTTGTGTTTTCCATCCGTTACTCTCATCTCTGGACTGTATTCGCACTTTCCATCAGGCGCGGTGCAGTCATTTTGCCGAGTCACAATAAAAAAAAAAAATAAAAAAAAAATTAAATCGTGTAATTCTATCGCACACTCTCCGTGATATATCCTGTAAAATACCGATAAGCAGGCAACTTTATGACGGTGTTCAAGGCTCTGCAGCTTCGCCTCTACTAATTCCGAGTCACCTATAAGACTCTTGGCACGCTTGTCAATTGAATCCAAGGTGGCCAGTTGATATGTAGCAGAGCCATCTCAAAGGTGGCAACAGTACTCCATACACTAGTGCTTGATACAGGTGAAGCAACTGTCCCGGTGTGAAGTAACGCCTCACCCTAGAAAGGATGCCAAGTTTCCTGGCTGCATTTTTGGCCATGGATTCAATGTATCTGCCGAAGTTCAGATTGGACGACAGGTCCATTCCAAGTAGCTGGAGACGGTCGGCTATTGGTATGGATATATCACGAAAAGTCGGAGTCAGCTCAAAGGGACTCCGTTTAGTGGAGAATAGACACGCCTGCGTTTTGGTAGCGTTAAATTTGACAAGATTGGTATCGCTCCAATCGGAGACTGCCTTGAGCGTCATATCTAAACGGCTAACCATGGACTTTCGACAAGATTGGATTTCGTCTCTTCTGACCTTTGCATTGGTCAAGTACCTATCTACAACTGTGCTGTCATCAGCATACGCAAAGGTACCTGGAATTAACATGTCATTGATATGCAGCAGAAAGAGAGTTGCAGACAGTACGGAACCCTGAGGATCTATCGCCATATGTTCGGAAGAGTAGCCTTGTAAGACCACTCGAATGGAACGTTCACTCAAGAAATCCGAGATCCAATTGCAAAGGTCAGTGGGAAGCCCATAACATGGAAGCTTGCTTAAAAGGCTTGCGTGCCAGACCCTGCCAAAGGCTTTAGAAATGTCCAAAGACACTGCAAGTGCTTCGCCTTGCTTTTCTATAGCCTCGCTCCGTATGTGACAGGTATACACAATATCCCCGGTAGATCGCCCTAGTCGGAATCCATACTGGCGATCACTGAGGAGGTCATTGTCTTCAAGGTATGACAGGAGACGGTTGTTGAGTACACGTTCCATAGTCTTGCGCTTATGGAAGTGACTGAGATAGGTCTATAGTTGACAGGGTCAGCTCTGTTTCCCTTTTTGGGCACAGGTGCACGTTTGCAAGCTTCCACGACCTGGGAACTACACCAGTCTAAAGTGAGAGGCGATACAAGCGTGTGAGAACAGGAGACAACTCAGGCGCACAGTTACGTAGGACTACCGCTGGAATTCCATCTGGCCCGCTAGCTTTATTCACGTCAAGGTTCCGCAGAGTTCTAAGTACCTCTTTTTGGCGTATGCGAACGGGCGCCATAGCGCAGCCAGCCTGAGGTAAGGTAGGTGGTATGTTCCCTGCGGCATCCAGACGCGAACTCTCTGCAAAGACGCGAACTCTCTGCAAAGACGCGAACTCTCTGCAATGAGTGAGGCAAAGAGATTCGCCTTTTCTTCTGTAGTATGAGCTAGCGTGCCATCCGGCCTGATTCCTGCCGTCACATTACTCTCACATTACTGCGTTCCGGTTCTGAAGGGTGTTGGTGAAATTACAGGCGCATGGGACTTGTCACTTTATGTAGCAGGGCATTGGGCACAATGGCAGTGCCCCTCAGATCTTTGCAATTTAAAGTTCTAGGCACCAGGCGCAGGGCCTGTTCGTCCCGGTACTTGGTGTCATAAAAAAATTGTTAAAATATGTGTCAACGCATCCGTAGAACAAATACCTATGTGCAAGACTGCATTTCGTCCGTTGTACTTCGCTGTGGATTTTAGATTTCCGAAACGTATTAAGGTATAAAAAATCTGAAAACACTTATACATAGGCCTTAGTTTGAAGGAGATTATGTCGGACTGTTGGTTCCACTCTTGATTTCAAGTACTGATGTCTCCTCTTAGATGGTGGAACCAACGATGTTAGTTTTAACAAATAAATTTCTAGGCTCGTGGCCCTGTTCACAAGTTTTAACAACAAAACCTCTTTTATGAAAAATAAATGATAAAAAAATTGTTGACGAGGACAATGTCAAACAACTTTGATTGTTATGTACTACCAATTACAAAAATAAGAATAATAAATAATATATTAAATTTGAATGCATTCCTCACAGTTCACCCAGCGGCCCATGTAACTTGAAAGTGCTTTAAGAAAAAAAAATGTTTATCGTAAACCTAAAAGCATCGAGCAAATAAGACGTCGACCAGATAACCGGAAATGTCCTTTTGGCAAAGAATAGGCCGTCTTGACACCAGCGCTGGTAAATTTAAGGTCAGCGTATAGCAAGATAATTTCAATTATATTGGCCTTGATTTAATAAGATTGAATTATGCAAGGTTTTGAATGTTTCTCCTGTTTTAGTGTTGGTTTTTGCTTGCTGAATTTGTGGTTGTCTATGAGTGAAAGACACCAGAAACCAAAATCCTACTGGACCCACTAGTGGGACCAAGAGTGGATCCAACAGTCCGAAATCGTACTTCATCCTCATTTCGCTGTATAATCACCTTCTTTCTGTTCTTCTTTGTTTCTTTTCTGTTCTTCGAATGAGTTGATGTTTAAATGCGTAGTCGAGGTTTTTAGACGATGTTTGTTGTGTCAGAAATGTACTTCCATTTTGTTTATTTACATTATACAGTGATATTAGAAAGAAAACCAAAATAAATGTATTTTTGTACGTTTCATTTTATTATAAGTTTCTAATATAAACGAAAAAATTCGGCACATGAAATGAACCTTCTAACTATGAGAACCAAGTGAAACCGTGGAGAAAAGTTGTTTCATACATTTGGGTCAAGTACGAATAAGCGATTACTTCAAACAGCGTTTTCTTCGCGATTTCGAAAAATGATAAAAAAACGGATACTGGAAATGATAGTTGATAAATATGTACATGAATGAGAACAGATTTGCACAAACACTTTACGAAGCTAGTAACAGGTCGCCCTCACGAGTTTTGTACTTGAGGTATCTGAAGATTTTCCTGTAAATGAAATAAATATTTTTAATAGAAATCGACAATTATGGTAGAAATAGATGAGTCGATTGTTAAAAGTTATGAAAGACACTCAAGTCTATATAGGCCTTCGGGCGCCTTCAAATTACACGCTTATAGAAGCACTCTAGTAGCGCTACTGTGGCACTGCAGGCGCATCATTACCATACACAGCTAGCTACAGGTGAAGACTGAAAATCGGCAATGCCGAGTCTTTAACCCGTCCACATCTCTTAATTGTAGTTTTTAATGTTTTATGGAGAAATAAATGTATTTTTATTTATTTTATTCTTCGTTTTTTTACATTAGAAATAAGGTAAACAAAGGAGCAGGGTTTGTAAACATTTTTCAAAAACTTAACGATTGTCATTTTTCTAATTCTACATAAGCAATAAGAAAGGAATTGTGAATAGGCCTGCAGTTATTATTTTTGTCGTGTCTTAGTTAGTTGATCATGTTTAGATTTATTACCTCCGTATGCAACAACACTTTGCCTATTATAATATGCAACTATGTCCTTTACACTAGCTTGAATGAATGCCCATAAATGCTAAGGGTATACAAATTACACTTCTCAAATTAGTAACTTTGACGTCACAAAGTTAGTAAGTCACGCAGTCTAGTTCTCGGCTGCATCAGTTGATTACGACTTCATGCATTAACTACAAACAGGCAATCAATCTGTTAGCAGCCTAAATATACAATGTTTGTATTAATAATTTTAACAAGTGTTTTAGTTACTTTGGGACATCGAGTATATAACCAGAAATAGAGACGAAATGTCATTTAATTTGTTTGGAAAGTTTTCTGCCATATAATTACTGTGCGCTCCGATTGGCCAGCCAAATTCGAAACAATTGACGGGTGTCGTCAATTGTTTCACTTCAAATCGACCTGTTAACTTGAGCTTTGCTAAAATGGACGATAATTGCAAAATTACATATTTAATTACCGATGAAATGTGATTCCGTTTGTTTTGTAATTAGATGTTTTGCTGTTTTTCCCACACCACCGAATAGAACAGCATGGCATTGTTAGAGATATTATCTTTATGACAATAAATACAGAATATCTTTGGAATATACGGAGTCGTACACACAGGTCAGTTGTTGGCGCTGTACTATGTCAGTTTTCTAATTTGTGATTTCAGCGTAAACGAGAGTTGATATTTAAAAGTGATAAAAGGCACATGCGGCCTGATGAGTTGCCAGGAATGGATGGCCCTTATTTCGTATCTATTTCTGGTTATATACTCGATGCGTTGGGATCAGAGCAACATGTGTAATATTGCCTAATTATTATTAATACATACCATATGGTTCTCGGAACATGTCCCCAATCCTTCTTCATATGGTGCAGCACTCTATGCACCTCGTCCCGAGTCACTTTGTGGTCGGAGATGATGCTAGTAACCCGGACGTCACTCGCCCTGGGCCAGGGAACTTCCCTCGCGTCCTCGACTACCAACTCCAGTTGCATTGTCACCTCCCATACAGAGCGTAGAGAGAGATTGGCCACCTTGAATAAACACACGTCGTGTCATTCTAGAGTCGGCGGACTAAAGCACATAAGTCCAACATCATTCATTTAAATTAATACATCTACCGGCTAAAACAATACAATACAAATATTCTTTATTGCACACGGACAAATAGATAATAACAATACAACAAAAAGTAAAATTACAGGTACAACAGGCGGCCTTATTGCTAAATAGCAATCTCTTCCAGGTAACCTTGGTGTTACAGGAAAAAAAACAGTAAGTTAAAATTATTTGAGAACGCAACAGAATACACATATTGCACATATACAAATGAAGACAAAAATGGTAATAATAAAAATACTTACATACATATAATTACCTACATACAAGATCTTTGAGCAAAGCAAACTACAAAAGCACATAAGTCAAATTCATTTGTTACTTCATAAATTTGTAACTTTATTCTAGAGGAGTCTTTTTCAAATTTATCATTCTCTTCACATCTTCACAGACTATAAACAACACAAATCATAATTATAATTATATATTGAACATGATGATACAAATGAAGCACTTTTTTGACTTGTGTGCTTTAGTCCGCCGACCTTAATATAGGGTTTTTCAGTGAAGACATAACAATTTTGATATAAAAGGATATTTTGCGGTTGGCCGCTGATGGCTTTCACTGCTAGCTGGGTGTTCGTGGGACCACGTCGTATTTTCCGATTTCCGTAACACAAGTCGCAGCCCTCATGGGAGGATGGCATAAGTGGAGTTACGTCAAAATTGTTTCTTGCTCCATTTAACTGTCTCCGTGGCCGAACGGTTACCATGCCATACCACTGCCACGTAGAGGTCTCAGGTTCGATTCCCGGGCCGGGAGAAATATTCGTAAGGCCTACATTTATTTGTCTCGTGAGTTTGGGTGTAATTTGTGGTTGTCTATGTGTGTGTCCATGGCACCCGCCACACAGTTTCCCTAGCGCGGGGTTATGTTAAGTGTGTGCGTTATTACTATTACTAGATACTGAAAAATATAACCCACATCCTCTCCAATTCTTGTAACTCTATCGACTAATATTGTAGGTAGAGTTACAAGAATTGAAGAGGATGTGAGTTATATTTTTCTGTATCTAATGGCGCAATAAATGTTTTTGTCGTAACTCCACTTATGCCATTCTTCCATGAGGGGTGTTAAGATTTTTGTCTTTTTTTTTAAAATTCGACGCACAAATTGTTCGTCCCGTCACATCAAGTGACGGGACGAACAATTTGTGCGTCTGGTGGTAAGCCACACGCCTATCTTTAACAGTTAACAGTGCCACTCAGAGCCTTTAAGTTGCAAAGATCTGTGGGGCACTACCACAGCGCCCGTCACCCTGAGACATAAGTTGACAAGTCCCATGTGCCTGTAATTTCACCAGCACCCTTACCCTTCAAAACCGGAACACAGTAATGCTGACATTACTGCTTGGCGGCAGAGATAGGTACTTAGATAGGTTACTTAACTCGGGATCAGAGCAACGTATGTGACTGTTACGGACGGCCGTACGCGCCTGGCCGGTCAGAGCTAGAGTTCAGAGGAGAATGATTAATTCAAGAGCTCTGATTGGCCGAGCGGCGTAGCGACCCATTGATAGGACCGGTACGATGTGGGAGACACCGTACTGGTATAAATATAAGCGATAATTGTCATTCGAATCAATCACTTTCAAGCACTCTTACTTGTCACATTTAGTTGTTACCTATTTGTAAGTCAGATCGACAAATATGAATATACAGTCCACTTCAGATTAAGGAAGTTTCATTTTACAATAAGGATATCGAGGGAAGATTAAAGCAGGGAGTTCAGTGTCTTTAACAGTGACGTTGTCTAATCTTCATTTATTAGTTGGGAGTCTATTCATACCTTCAACGACAGCAATCCTTCTTCGGTCATGGTGTACGCTAAATGCGACCAGGCCGCGTGCATGGCGCGGCCCCACTTGAGCGAGACCCGCGCGACGCCGGCGCAGCGGCGCAGCAGCGCGGGCACGTCGCCGGCGCGAGTGTACACCCCCGACCTGCCCAGGAGGTAGCGCATCGCTTCCGCCGCGAATTTTACGCACACCACCGCCACCGAGTTCCTTTTGTCTGAGAAGAAAGGTTGGCTTCAATAATTCTAGTAAGAATGTTTCGTCGGTGTTTCGTAGAAGCGTAAGCGACATTTCGAAATTTTAGGTTTTAAAGACTGTTTTATTAGTACGTTGTGTATTTTTTTTAACCGACTACAGAAAAATGGAGGAGGTTCTCGATTCGTCTGTATGTTTATTTTTGTATGTATGTTACGCGATAACTTCGCCATGTGTAAACCAATTTTGGTTATTCTTCTTTTGTTGGAAAGAAGGTACCTCAGATCAGGTCCCATTTAAATTTCAAGAAAATATTCCACCTCTAAGGGTGGCAAACTAGGGGATGAATGACTTTTCAGATCTATTTTTTTAACCGGAGGTTAGGTTATTACTTATTAGATTCGCCAACAGAAGTACACTATTAAACATGGACATAAAATAACACTGCAGAAATTACTCGAATGTAAACCCAATAATAGGCAAATACAGCAAGCACATATAACATAGTATCAGAAGCGTTTACTGTGTGTTATGTTACATACAAACAAATGGATATGATTATTGAAAGCAAATAATGTAAATGTGTTCAAATTAAATTATAAAGTTGCAGATTACGACACCAGAAGTATCAATTAATGTAAGGGACAAATCACGGTTTTTCAGGAAAGCCAAAAAACGATTTTATTTTTTTAAATCTGTCTATAACGTTTTACTGTCAGCTCCAATTTTGATTTTGTCTAGAGCAAAGTTTCTTAGAATTTCGTGTAATTTTCAATTTCTCTTCATGCTTACACTATGCTCGACGGTTTACACATAAAATATTAGTAACGTAAGACACAACTAAAAATCTTTTTTTAATGTAATAAAAGGACATGCTATATTTTAAACGACTGGGCATTCCTAAATTTTAATAATACCAATCGATAGAGCGGGAACTTCCAAATTCAATGATATATGTAACTCATTTTTGACAAAATGTCCCTTACGTTAATTGATACTTCTAGTGTCGAATTGTTAGTCTGAGCATATATAATTTTAAATTTATTAAATGAAAACAAAAACAAATCAGATGACCTGCGTTTATTAAGGGCGATAAATAAGAAATTACTAACGAGAGTTTGTCGAATGCCCAAAGCCGAAGGTTGAAGGCTTTCAATGCTCGAGGTTTAACACAATGTATTAGATATAAAATTACACATGCTGCCCTGAAATTTTTTTCGAAATGTCGCTTTACGCCCTTTTTACGAAACACCGACGATTTACTCGCTGCAGAATCGGCCCGTAAATCATCATAGGAAAACAGCTATATTGCGCTCTCTCTCCCGCTGAGACACAGAGTGCCGTTATCGAGCCGCACAAACGTGTATCTTGTGTTGGATACAGGCAACCGGCGGCAACGAAAATTCTAGACACACGTTTGCGCGGCACCTAATCCGAGAATGACCAGGATGTGGACTCCCTTTCTCCGTGCGAAACAATTACTGTCAAATAAGGAATACTCTACCAAATCAAAAAACAATGGCGTGTATAAAGCTTCTTTCGCATCATGCGTCTTTTATTTGTCGAGTACTACTTATTTCACAGTTATTGTTTTGGACGAACTTCAGACGGAGAACGAGAGTATAAGGCCAGTACATTTTACAAAATTTGATGTAAAGGTACCTTGATGCAAATTGTCTATCTTCAAATCCAAAACGGGCGTGTCACTCCGGACGCACGCGCCTTTGTCGTTGCAGCCCTTGCGTTGTGGCGCGAGCTCGATGCGCAAGCGCAAACGTTCGTGCAAGAAATAGAACGACCATGTCTCGCAATCGCCACTCTCCCATGAGCATTCAGGGGTCCTGGTTATTTTAAATAAATCGTGTTCTTAGGATGAAAATGAAACTATCTGTAACAATCTGTAAGCTTAATCGTTCTGAAATTTTTTCAAAGTTATATCTTAAAAACAACAGCTGAGCTGCTTTTTCTGTTGCTTCAAAAACGGAACGCAGTAATGCTCACATTACTGCTTGGCGGCAGAAATAGGTGAGGTGGCAGTACTTCCCTGGACCAACTCTTTCACAAGGAGTTCTACTGCTAATAAAGGTTCCAAGTAGCATCAATTTCATCAATTTGGGAGCGAATTTTCTAAATTTAAATTGATCTGGGTAATCAAGGTGCCCCTTCTAGATGTTCCTTATTCGATACCTAGGCCCCAAGTCAGAGAACAAAAAAGTAACGAGAATGGACACTCTCCGTCCCTCCCTAGCTTCAGGTACCGCACCACGCTACGCACATTCGACGGTCACATTGACTGATCGACAACAAGGCTGTCGGCAAGCCATTTTCGCGCTTAGACGGCGTTGATATTATAATACAGTTTTCATTTATTCATTACGAAACTTGTACATTAATATACAACGTCAATGCAGTTCGATGCGCGTTCGGGAACGGATGCGCTCCACTACGCAGTGAGAATTATCATTATAATACGAGTTTCGCGCGGCATATTAGGTCGCTGCGCGTAAGTGGCAATGGGTTCCCAACAATTCATAGCCAATGAGTTTTTGGCGTTTATCCAACACGCCATCGATACCATGGACGAGGTCAGCATTGTGCAGATCTGCAAATGCAACTTCAACGAGGATGAGATTTGCAGTGGCAAGCTGCTGCTGTTCCAGAGCCTCGGCAAAGCTGAGAAGAAGCCATCTCGCCGGAGGGATGGAGGCGTGAAGAGTCTCCAGAATATTATCACACTCCTAAAGGAGACTGACCCGGACGACGTGCCTACATTCGTGGCGAAGGAGCTGCATAAGCTGCCCCCAGTCACGTTTGATCACGTCGATGTCACCAGGCTGCTGAAGGATATTACTTCCCTGAAGTCAAGCCTGGCCGAGTTGCAGTTTAAATTGGAGGCTTCAGATAACACCATAAGTGAGCTACGTGCCCAAGTTGCGTTATCAAGCAACGCTGCTACGGACTGTAGGTCGCCAGAAGCCTCTAATATTAACACGCGACGTGTGGCGCAAAATGCATCCGCATGAGCATGTCGAGTCGGCACAAATAGTTGCGTCACCGCCCTGCTGCCCGCACCGACGACGCTGCTGTACCTGTCACAACGGCATTACTCCATGAAGTCTGAGGAGATAGTGGAGTACATCAGACATAAAGCCTAATACACCCTGAGTGTCGAGCGGCTGGAGTCACGTCACAACGTAAATTTTAATTCGTTTGTTGTGAGAGTACCGACCGAACATCTATCGACCTTCAATTAGGAAGTTTTGGCCGAAGGGTGTCATGTATCGGCGATTTCGCGGCCAGTTACCTGACACCAGATTGCGCCACACATCGCCGTCAAGTGCAATTCGTGTAGATTAGTTAGAAATAGAGTTTTATTATATTGTATATATGTTATTCCTTAAGGAATATATTATATAAGTGTTTTATTGTATTATTATGTATGTTAGTCTATAAGGTATGTATTTGAGGGTCTTTGAAACCTGAATACAAATAAATATGTGGTCATGAGTTGTGCTGTGTACGACAGTTTATCATCGCCTAGGAGTTTCTCTCGTATGAAACTCATTCAGTTATTGTTTGTTCATTCATGTAGTGCAGAGTAATATATTATAATACAGATTTGTTATATCAATATTGATGTAATATAGTATACAAAAGTTCTCGAGTTTTCAATTTGTATTGACGATAAATATGTAGTGAATATAATTATAATTAATATATTAATTAAGTAATGATAAAGTTGGACACGAAATTTCTAATACCTTGGTTACCTTATTTATACCTGTCCAAAATTACATTTTAGGTGCATTTGATTTTTTTTTTAAATAAACTTTCAGGATTGTTGTTGTTGGTGAATTAATGAAAAATACAATATTATATTGATATAAATACCTAGTGAACATGTGTAATTATAAGGATTATATTAATAGAATATAATAATATAGATAACAGCTTCGTGTTAGAATTTTCGCTATGTTGCCACTCTGATGTAATAGTACGAGAAGTGATGGGTAACCCTGCCACTTCACGCACACATTTGCGCGTGTGCAGATAGCGACCGTTGTATGGAGTGTCCGGGGTGTGCCCCCAAGTCTCATTATGTAGTAAATTAAAAGTAGTGGCTTGTCAGTGACTGAGTTACAACTGCCATTGAAATTTTTTAATATTCAATAGCGAGTCAATGCCGTAATTTACTCACAATAATAACGCACACATTCAACATAGCCCCGCACTAGGGAAACCCTGTGTCGCGGGTGCCATGGAAACACACATAGACAACCGCAAATTACACCCAAACTCACGAGAGAAATAAATGTAGGCCATACAAATACTTCTCCCGGTCTGGGAATCGTAACCTCTGCGTGACAGTCCGACATGGTAACCGTTCGGCCATGGGGCAGTTGCCTATTATTTGACATAAAAAAATAGACTTAATTTGAAGACTAAATTGCTGATTAAACGAGAATATCAGCTGACGGGACGAACACGTCGTGCGCCTGATGGTAAGCAGGAGCTGAGGGGCACTGCCACTGCGCCCGTCTCCCTGAGACGGTAAGTTGACAAGTCCCAAATGCCTATAATTTCACCAGGACCCTTCTGAACCGGAACTTACTAACTATAATAAACTAACCTATTGCTACTTAAGATGTGCATAGTAGTTTCCGTGATGGTTTTAGTAAGGCAACATCGATCGTTAGTGATTGAATGAATGAATGCCATTACTGCCATTCAATCAATCAATCAATCAATATATTTATTCGTCATCATAGGTCATAACATGATAGGATGTACAGTATTCCACTGACGCTATTGAGACTGCCATTGCAACTAGATTTTAGCAGAATAACAAATATTATCATAACTGGATGCTAGTAACAGTAAAGCTCCTTGTGAAAGTATTCGTCCAGGGTAGTATTACTTTACTTATTTTTGTCGCCAAGCAGTAATGTCACCATTACTGTGTTCCAGTTTTGAGGGTGCTGGTGAAATTAAAGGCATATGGGACTGGTGAACTTATATCTCAGGGTGACGGGCGCAGTGGCAGTGCCTCTCAGATCTTTGCGATTTAAAGCTCTGAGTGGCACTGCCACTGTTATGGCCAGGCGTGTAGTTTACCATCAGGCGCACGACTTGTTCGTCCCGGCACTTGGATGTTATAAAAAAAAATGCTACTAAACAATAACGTGTCAACTAACATGATCAATGTTTTGCGAAAATGTCTATAGTTTTATTCTAAAAGTTACTCGCAAAATAATCTAAGTACAGACTAGTAAAAAAACCGACCTCAAAAGTCATTCATCCCCTAGTTTGCCACCCTTAGAGGTGGAATATTTTCTTCAAATTGAAATGCCAAGAAAAAAAGAATCATCAAAATCGGTTCACAAATGAGTTAAAAAAAACAGTCGAATTGTGACCTCCTCCTTTTTTTGAAGTCGGTAAATAAAAAAACTTGCTGTTGTTACCTCAAGAATGATGAATTCGCAAGTGCAAAAGTTTTCATTTCATACGTAAATTTTAGAACAAACTATCAAAACCAACGAAAAATTCTTTAGGTGCCATTTTCGCAAAACTATGATCATGGTGGTTGACAAGTTATTGCTTAACAGCATCCAATTGTAATAACCTCAGTGCAGGTTCAATTTATATCTAAAAATCTTGTCCAGCATTTCTGAATTTCTCACATAGCTCAATTACTTTCAACTCTATTTATATACAGTGATAGGGAATAGGGAAGATAAAACTCCCTTAGCCGGGCCTTCAGGTTTGGGATAGGGCAGGTACTTAAAAATAAAACTTACCCCATAAATGGTAGCGCATCAATCATCTGCAAAACATTGATGTCGGACTCGCACTCTGTCACCAAGTTCTTCGAGCTCAATTCATTCATCAGTTCAGGCAGCCAGTCCATAGTAACTCCTGTGCATTTGCCGCAAGATGTCGAAACCGAAGCGCAGTGTGTTACTTCACTTCTACTAGACGACGTACTAATTTCATTAACATAATATTCCACCTTCTGTTTGCGTATATATTCCACAGTGTCGGCCTCAACATATGGTTCTATCTGCTGCCTATTGGGTTTATTAAAGATTCCATCAACTGCCAACCTATGAACAGTTGTTGATCTTTGCTTTTTCGAAGTATCTTTTGGACTTAGCGGTATTCGACCTTGCTTTGTATTGCCTGTAGGACTATTCGAATCATCATTGGTGTTTGGCTTGTTATTTGGACTCTTGTTATTCTGGTCTTTTGGACTTTTCGGACATGAGCCAATTTGAGCATGTTTCGCAGGACTGCAACAGCTGGATGTGTTGAAATTTTTAGAACGACTAGCTAATGGTGGCAGTTGACATGCTCCCGTTTTTATGTCGTAATTCAGCATTTCATCTGGGCTTGTAGATCTTTTAGCGATTTTCTTTGCCGGTTTCGGTGTTATATCTAATGAAGACACTGTACAAAGTCTATGATAATTACTAGATGAACTGTACTTTCTTTTACTACTGCTCGTATTACCGATTTGGTTGGGACTTTGATCGTTTCGCATTTCACCTAAGTCCTGATTGTGTTGTTCGTAAATAACTTTTACTCCGGAAATCTGATCGTGGTGGTTTAATGGAAAGTTGTGGACAGAAACGTCGCTTTTGGCCTCATTATCCCCGGCTTCGTTTACAAGGGTTAGAGAAGAATGGGCTTCTAAAATCTTGAGGTTATCTCTCATTGCAATGGCAGTATTCATTTTAGCGTCTCTGCTGGTAACTTCAGGGGCACCAACAGCTTTATTGACTGAACAAGATCTATTTATGTTGTTATTAGAGCTATCAACTTCAGCTAAGCTTTGTAAAGTATTGCAATCTGTAATCCTTCGCGACATAAGATCAAAATCATGAACTTGTGAATTCTTTTCTTCAGGAAGCTTTTGCTTGTAACTTTGATTTACTTCTGTTCCTGTAAAAGATGATCTGATTGTGCGAATGTTGTAGTGAGTAAACATTCTCTCTATTGAGTTATCTTTTGAAGAGTTTCCAGATCTGCAGTCAGGAAAACCGTTGGGATACAGAGGTTCGTATCTATGAGCATCAGCAAAGTCCACTGGCTTGATGTAGATATTGTTCAAAGGATTACCAGGGTCAAAAATAATTATCTCCAGGGCCTTTTTCGGTGGACACATATCAAAGGCCGCTGTAACTGATTTGTTTGAGGATACTTTTATAATCCCCCTTTGTTGGGTTGTAGTAGAGGATTGCTGAGATTCCAGAGTGGACATGGGCTCTCTTTGAAGGTCTATCTGACTAGAAGTGAATAAGTCCGCTTGTGCTTCAGTATTACGAGTCGAAGGCACATTACGGAGTTCTTTATTTTTCTTAATTTTGGTATCTGCAAACGGCAAGACATCAGCGTCCGCGTCGGGTTTCATTAAATCGCTCATCAATTGCTTAATTCCATCTGACACATCTTTCAAATAACTCGGAATCACATTTACTTTCTGAGACGTTTTGAAATCGTTCATATACGACGTCTCACCAAATACAGTTTTCTTTAAAGGAGATGATGACGTATTGCTTTTCAGTGTCGACAAACCAAAAATACTCTCTGAGCCCACTTCCAATTCATCATCTTCAAATCGTAAAGATTTAACAACTTCGTTGTTGATACGCATTTTCTTTTCATAATTATTGCTTTCCGGCGATTCTACATCTATTGGGGACTCCTCTAATTCTTTCTGTAGTATTGCCTGAGCGAGCGATATATTATTCATGAGGTCTTCTTTACTGAAGACTACAGACTGTCTGCGTGGATTAATACTACTTTGTCTCTTTGGAATGAGATTTTCTAAGCTGCAAGCCACGGAGATTGCTGGTCGTGTCGTCAGACCAAGTAGCGTGCTAGTGTCTTCTGTGTTTTTATTTTCAATGTCAAGCAGCTTTTTTCCCACTGTATCCTGTTTACGTATATTGCTATCATCCATGATATTAGTATCTTCCATTGGATAAAGCAACTCTTTTACTATTGTAGCGTCCTTAAGTACACAGCTTATATCCTCTTCATTCATAAGATTTTTTTCATTCAATGGTTGAGAAACAGGATTATCTTCTCCTTTTTCTTTTGGCACATCGATGTCATTTGCACTATCGATCCCTTTCATTGGACTGTGAAGCTGATCATTACTGATTAAAGTCTCTTTAGATTCGTTCATAATTTCATTAATTTGGTCGCAAAGTTCTTTATTTCTAATAAACTCTGTGGTATCTTCAACAGATAGTTCTTTTCTATAATTTGTTAGGTAAGTCTTTCTAACTTCATTCTGATATTCTTCAGATGAATGCTCATCCAGTGCACTAACCTCTTCTATTATTTTGTCTACTAGTTCATTGTCTGAATCACCCGTATATTTATACAGTTCATTATCTTTATCTGTTGGACTTTCTTTCTTATCTTTTTTAGAAGTTGTCTTTTTTCGCGGAGATGACGCTCGCCTAGTAGCAGAATGTCTATGGAGTGAAGACCCGTGCCCAGCAGTTGGTGATTTACGGGGTGACACCAAACTGCGGAAAGAAGGTGAACCCAAACGAGGTGGGAGTGGTGATTCCTTCTTAAGCCCTCTTTTTACAGGAGACCCTTGCCAAGAAATAGAACGTACTTGAGGTGGTGATGTCATGCTGCTAGGAGATCCATGCAGAGCACTTGTGCGAGGCGTAACAGGTTTGTTCTTTTTTTTACCTTTTTGATTAGAGCCGTGTCCAGCCGTATTACGGGTTGCTATGGATAGAAATTTATTTTGACCCTGCGCAATATTAATTTCATCCAATGGATTTGTCTGCTCTTCAACATCGGTAAAATTATCAAGCATTTGCAATAATTGTTCAGTCATATAAGACTCTCTATCAGGACTGACGACTTTTTCCAAATGTCTACTGGATGGCATTTTATCTTTTAGTTGATCCAATTTCTGTTGAAGATACTGCATCATATTGTTTTTAGAACAATTCCCATCTGACGTTTCTTTATTATATATCGATAATGGTGCTAACTCTTTAGGCTTGACTTCCTTGTCTTCTTCTGACTGAAAATCTTCGCTACCTGAAGTGATGTAAAATAGACTTTCAATCGATTTTATTACTTTTTCTTCGGATTTTCCATTCTCAAAAGAATTTGGCTTGATTTCTTTGTTCATAGAATTATCTGACTCAATCTTTGCTGTAGCGCTTTTGTCTTCTAAGCCGCTAGTTACAGATACATACGACATGTCCAAAAGATCCACCAGAAGAGATTTTTTTGAATCTTTTGTAGTGTTACCGTCTTTCGATTGTTGCGATGAAGTTTCTGACAAAAACCTTGATTGGTAAGATGGGGAATTAGAAGCCTCTGGTACAGGTTTACTCAAAGAATTTGTATCTTGTGATTCAGAATTAGAAACTAATGACATGGAATCACGTGGGTCGTTTGACATTTTAGACTTGTTAGATGGAGATTTGGATACGTAGTTGGAGTTGGGAACCGACTTTGTCATATCTTTTAATGACGCAGACAAGTTGTTTTTAGTTCTGAACAGTTCTATTTGACCTTTATTGTGCTGTAGATCAGTTCTGGACAAATCCTTAGTAGCTGGATCTTTCAAAATAGAATCTGCTTCGGTGTTTACTGGTGGAATGACACCCATGTCAGTGCTGGTTTGATATACCATAAAATTTTGATTAATAGGCTCTTTTTCTTGGCCTACACATAACAACTGACTTAAATTAGACTTATCAAGAATCTTCTGTATTGTCAACAAATCAGCCGGTATAGGCTTCGTAAGTGTTAAGTTTGATAATCTCTTAGTTTTGAATATTTTGTTTAAATTGGAATGGGTGTGTATTGTAACTTGAGGTTCTTCAATTTCTTTATCGGTATTATTAAATTCAGTTATAGTCATTTCTTGCGACAGTCTATTCTTAGCAGTTTCTTTACACAATGAAGATAAAGAAGTAGAAGAAGCACTATCATTTGGAGTAATTAATTTTTCTGGTAATAATTGTAAACTCGCAGGCAAAGGCTGCGTCTTATTTTTAACATCTATGTCGCTTTCTTCGGCAATAAATTTCCTTTCAGGTATATTTGTGTTAGATTTTGTATATTTTGATACGTCTAAATCGCATTTTGATTCATTTACATTGTCTAGATTTGGTATTGCAATACCAATTTTATTACAGTTTAAGGCAGATTTTTTAGGAATCTCTTGATTGTGATCAACAGTATTTAATTTTATAGCTTGAGTAACTGATATATCTTCGGATTTGGTATGGTCATTGATTTTATTACTTTCTGTCAATATCATAGGGACTATCGATACTGAAATGTCTTGTCGTTCCGCATTATCTGGTATTATATTGAATGGCATGGCTTGCTTCACTGATTGATCTGCTGCAACAGATTCTATTGGTTCTTTAAGAACAGTTTCCCGATTTTTTACCACAATTAGATTTCTTGGTACAGCTTGTGTTATAGATATATCGTTGTCTGATTCATAAACAATTGTTTTTCTTTTCTCGGATACATTTAAAATAATATTTGCTGGTACAGCTTGAGTCATAGATATCTCGTTATCAGATTCAAAAACAATTGTTTTTCTCTTTTCGGATCCTTCTGGCACAATAATATTAGTTGGAATAGCTTGTGTCATGGATATGTCGGCATCTTCCGAATTGTAAACAATTGTCTTTCGTTTTTCTTGGTTTTCACATAAAATTAATTCTCTGGGTACAGCTTGCGTCATAGATATATCCTGATCAGACTCTACAATGATTGTCTTTCTTTTCCCGGATATTTCTGTAGGCAGTTCTATGACTACATCATTAATTAGTACAGCTTCTGTCATAGACATATCCTCATCTTCTGAATTGAAAACAATAGTCTTTCGATTTTTAGGTATGATACCTTGGTTCTCCGGTAAAATTACGTTCTCCAATACAGCTTGTGTCATAGATATGTCGTTGTCGGATTCAAAAACAATTGTCTTTCTGTGTTCAGGAACCGTGTTGTCCGGAAAAATTATATTCTCGGATACACCGTGAGTCATAGACATATTTTCCATTTCGGAAGCGGAAACAATATTCTTCATATTTGCGACACTTGAGACATATTCTTGTAACGTTACGTTAGACGATACAGCATGTGTTACTGGAATATTGATCATACGGTCCACAAGAACTTCGTTATTATCAAACCGATCTGGATTTCCAATTACGTTTAATGAAAAGGCTTGGGCGGAGGGGTATGAGAGCATCGAAACAGCTGGTGTTATATCTTCGTTTTCGAATACTACTGTTTTGCTCGTATCCGAACTAAAAGGAATAGTTTCTGGCAAAATTATGTTAGGTGGTACAGCCTGCGTAACTGATATATCTCCAGCATTACTTTCGTAAAGTATTGTTCTGCGCCTTTCAAGAGAATCAGGCATTATTACATTTGCTTCTGACACAGGGATTTTTACCACTTCATCTCCAATAACCATACTTTGACTTTTCGCATGACTATCATTAGACAATATGTGTGAAACAGACGCTTGAGGGTTGTCAACAAAGTTTGGCAAATCATCATCTACATTCAAAACTATTGCTTTTTTAAGTGAAATTGTACTTGCGTTCTCTGTTACGGAAGTCCGATTTACTTTTTCTTTCAATTCCGTCTGTATAGTCAACCGTTTCCCGTCAAAAACCAAAATTTTGTCCGGCTCCTCATTAATAGCGAAATTGGCTGATTCTTTCGGAGCCACATAAGGGTTTATGGCAATATTCTCTTTGTTAATCACCCAATGTTTGCAATCAATTGCCGATGAAGATTTCATGTCAGTATGAATTTTCGAAACACTTACTTCAGAACTATGAATAGTATCTGTAATAGACATATCAGATTCATCGTTCCTTGCTGCAATGTGCGTCATATTGAGATCAATTTCAATGTATTCTGAAACATCTTCTGCTCTAAAAGCACTTGAACAAACCATGTTCCCAGCATTTGATTGACGTTTCAAATCTTTCTCGATGTCGTCAAGATCATCCTTTCTACCTAAAAGTTGTACGTCGGTGAAATTTACACTAATGCGATCAGAGACTTCACCTAAACCGGAGACAGAGAATTCATCGGCGAATATTTGACTCTGATTATTTGTAAAAGAACTAAGCTCGAACTTCCGATGGGGTGCTGGTGCTCCTAGATCATTGACGCTTTCCAAAACGTTAAACTGTCGGAATAAGTTTTCATTATTTATGGAATTATCCACATTTCTCCCACCATCATCTGGTGTAAGAAGATCGTTTGCATCGACTTCTTGAAATTGTTGGTCGAATATTCTTTTCCCTAAATGACCGACTGAAGGCCGGGGAGGATTAACGTCGGAGTCGTTGCCGGAGGACTCTAAAGTTTTATTGTGTTCTTCATAAAAGTTCTTCCATGTGGTGGTTGCCTCGTTTGTAACAAATTCCCTGCAAATAAAATAATAGCGTGGTTAACCGTTAAGGTTAAGGAAAACATAACGATGATACATGAATGTGTGAAGTAGCCAGCCCGCATTGTGCCAGCTAGAGTGTTGGACTGGAGGAGATGTGTAAACCCGTTGGGCACAGGCATATGACCTCATATATTAAATATTTACGCTATTACTGAATATACGTGCGTGCTGTGGGCTACAAAAACGATGTTAAAAGTCGAAAACTCAAGCAAATATCTATAATAAACACGTAGAAGACGTTCGTAGATTGCCTCTGTCGCTGAACATCATATTCGCAAAATATCATGTTCGCAAAACATGATATTCGCAAGACATCACGTTCACAAAATATCATTTTCGCTAGATATCACATTCTCAAGATATTACATTCTTAATACACCATATTAGCTAAACACCACATTCGCAAAATATCATGTATGCGATTTACAACATTCTGTACATTGTTAGGAACAAAATATAAAAGTACAATTTATAAATTATTCATTTTATCATTGTTAAATAAAGACGTAAAAATACAAAACATAATATAAATAAAAAAAGAATTATTAATGCTTACTACCGCTATAGCAATTGTGTGGCACTGAACGGCACTCAAGTTATTGAGACGTTTCGGTCCTTACTCACTGCTATCTTACTTAAGCTTCGGCGCTTAACTTCCGCTTTCACGTTAGACTTGTGCCTCATCGGTCCTTAGAGGGAGCGATTCTAGTTAGTTCAATCGATCAACTAAACTAGGTCGGCCTTCTAGTTCATCTAGTTCCTTAGTTAGTTCGTCGGACATTGAACGAACGCTCCAAACTAGTAATTTTATTCACATGAACTATCACGGACTTCTAGTATTACGAGTTCAATACTAAACTGTACTAAATACACACATCAAAAGTGTCTAGGGATCAAGTGAATATTTTTGAAATAAAAATTATTTAAGCAATATTTACCAAATCCAGTCTTCCAGGACGACTTCTTACTTTAATGCTTATGTTTTATTTAACCGCTTACCCCTATATTTAATTAAAATAAACTAAAATTGATGTTTTTGCAAATTGTGGGAAAAAACTCAAATTAACGGCGTCAATTAAATGACAAAAAAATGGCGAAAATGATGATTTTGCTCATTTTTATTGTAAAGATAAGAAAATTAATAATCTGTATTTCCACCATTAACACGAATCACACAATTACAGCGATTTGGCATGCTTAAGATGAGTTCATCAAAATCACTTTGAGGAATGGCCGCCCATGTGTTTTGTAACAAGTCAAAATATTGTTGTAGAGTATGTACGGTATGCATACTCGGCACAGCTCTTCTTTGAAGCATATCCCATGCGTGCTCAATTGGATTGAGGTCTGGCGATTGAGCAGGCCACGGCAGAACGTTGATACGAGCTTCGGCAAGAATGCGTGTTACGACTCTAGCCGTGTGTGGACGTGCGTTGTCATGCATTAGTTGAAATGAATCACCCAACTGGCCTCGCAAAGGGATGATAACATCTGAAACAATCCTCTCTGCGTAAACTTGAGCATTGAGGTTACCCTTGATCCAAATGAGATCGGTTCTTCCGCCGATCCAAATACCGGCCCATATCATTATTGTTCCCCCACCATATGGATGAACTTCCTGACAATATCTCAAACGTTCATGACGTCCAGATGTTCTCCAAACTCGAGTACGTCTTGTATTCGGTCTCATACCGAAGCGGGATTCATCCGAAAAGCACACATAGAGCCAGTCTTCTTCCTCCCAGTTTCTGTGTTCGCGAGCCCATCGTAAACGGGTCCTGCGATTGCAGGGTGCAATAGGTGGAACTCTGAGCGGCCTTCGGGATCGCAGACCCACTTCACGTAAACGATTTCGGATTGTTTGATCGCTTATTAGCAAGCCTGAGGAGCTGTGGAGCCTCGTAACCAACATCATGGCGGTCATGGTACGATTCCGTCGAGCAGTATTTTGGATATACCGGTCCTGTCTGCGAGTCGTGATGCGAGATCGTCCTCCATGTCGCTCGGCCACGCTGCCCGTCATGCGATAGCGCGTCCAGAGGCGACTTATGACGCTCTGTGTAGTGTTAAGAGTGAAAGCCACAGCACGTTGCCTGGAACCAGCTTCCAACATTCCGACGGCTCGCATCATCACTTCTCGGGTTAAATGATGTCGTCTCTCCATAATAATGTAAATTGTTTCGGTTCCGATGCAGATATTGTAATGATTTTGTCAAAACGCTATAACTCATTTTTATACAAAACCACATTGACAATCGATTTTCTTCTTATTATCGAATTTTAAACAATATTCCTTATTTAAATGTTAAAACTCACTAAAAAGTATCAATAGCGATACAAAAAAGTTAATATAATTAACCCTAATTGCAGCAATACTCTTAAACGTACTTGATCCCTAGACACTTTTGATGTGTGTATTTAAGAATACATTTAATGGAATTGGTACTATTTCATTTTTCTTCATATTTTGCAGGTTTAAAGACTGTCATTCTAATTATATATTCTTTTTTTTACTAAATAAGAATTTTACTTAGAATGGTGTGTTTAAAAATCAATATTTAGGTACAACTATTTCTTAATACTCGTACACGTAGATTGATATTATACATACAGATACCTACCAAAAAATATAACTTTTTTGCAAGCTTGTATATGTACATAATGTAGATACGTATTAGAGACTTAGAACGAGCTGGCAACGTTCAATCGTGTATCCCACTCGAACTTGTGCTAAAAGTAGTAGTAGTACTAAAAGCAGTTCGTAGTTCATGAACTATACAAGCCTATTTCACGCACGTGAAACGCACTGTTGGGTCTCTAGCCGCATAACTTTTTGTTTTGTCTTTTATCTAATATACGCCTTGCGCACTTTCCGTCTGCGTGTCAATTTTCTACGCACCCCCTCCGCTAACCCACGCTACACAGGTACTTTATTTTAAAATGTGTATTATGTTTCGTCACAAATAACTGTCCTCTCCGTCGGCGTCGCTTCAATACGTCCCCTGTGTATGCATCATTATGTAGTGCATTTCGAGGTACAGACAAAAGGAGTTTATTTATGTGGTATATTTTTTTTAAATTATTATTACTTCATGATTATTTGCAATAAATCGATTGCATGGTTTTCATAAGTTACAATACAGCTTTGATTTGCGAAATTCTATATCTATATAATGTAATAGGTATCATGAGTAGGGTCTTATTTTTAGCCGATTTAAAAATAGGAGGAGGTTCTCAATTCGACTGTACGTTTTTTTTGTATGTATGTTACGCGATAACTCCGCCGTTTGTGAACCGATTTTGATGATTCTTTTTTTTTTGTTGGAAAGAGGGTATCTCCATAGTGGTTCCATTTAATTTTGAAGAAAATCGTCCACCTCTAAGGGGGCTGTTCACGCATGAAGATTCATTTTTATAAATAGCGCCTAAATTTTATTATAAGGAGCAATTATTTTGTACAGTGAGAACCGATTTTGATTATCTCCTGTGTCAAGTTCCGTATAGTGGTGAACTAGGGGATGAATCCGGGTTTGCGCACTTTCCGGTAACCGATTTCAATAAAACTTGGTAAATATGTAATTCCACGTACTTCTGAGATCGGTTTTTTTAGTACTCTGTACTGAGATTATTATAAAAGGATGCTACTGATTTCGACTTCATCCGGTCTGTAGGTATACATTATATACACATATACATATATTCTATAAATCCCCTTAATATTTTATACTTATTACTACCCCTTTATACTTTATATTATACATATATTATGTATATATGTAGAATATAGATATAAAAAATAGGAAGAGGGTTTATGGAAATGATTTTTCGAACCATAAATGTATTAATACACACCATTTTAACGTATCTGCACAAAAAATTGCACGCAAAGGGTCATTTTCTGATCAGGGTACGTGTACTACTACTTAATCTAACCCTCTGTCTGTCGCTAGTAAGACCTGCTGTTATTACCTGTACTTAGAATGTTGTGTTTTGCGAATGTGGTGTTTTATTTAATTTATTTATTTATTAGGCACACCAACAGTTACTACAATAGTTCATGTAGGTATTAATACTACTAACTAATTATAGGTGAGCACCTCATGCAAAAAAATGTTTAAACAGAGTTGGAAAAGTAAAAAATAATTATAAAACTAATAAAAAAGAAATAAATTAGGAAGACTTTTTTTATAAGTAAAATATAAAACACGATTCAGATACTAAATGATATAAAATGCTTTGTGCCCTAACCAAGAAAATTAAGAATTTTGTTTCTGAAACCTAGCAGTGAGTCAACGAAAATATCCGCATGTTTGGAGCAGTCATTATACAAATTAGACATACGAGGTATGGGGGAATTGGAACCTAATACTGTTCTACGACGAGGTGGGTTGGAAAAGCCTTATGTGGAATTTCGGAAGTGTGGCGGAAGTTTTAAAGTTTAAATTACCAAGCAGTTGTGGACAGTTAACCTTATTGTGAATAATTTTATAAAGGAAATCCAAATCGAATAGTTTTCTGCGCTCCGAAAGGGGCGTAATTTTAAAATGCGCAACTCTCCTGACGTATGATTCACGTTTTTTAGAAAGACCAGCACAGAAACTTAAATGCCATAAAAAGCGTTTTTTGACACGCTCCAAATGCAATGAGTGAACAGCGTAGTGGGATCGCCACACCACACTTCCATATTCAAGTACAGTCCTAACAAAGCAGTTGTAAATAAGTATTTTCGTCAGAACGCTACGAAAGATTTTACAATTTCTCAATACAAAACCAAGCATCCTCGATACTTTATTAACAGTTGAATCGATATGCGGCTTAAAATTAAGTTTTTTGTCAATTATTACACACATATACATTACATACTTATACCATAAGCTCAACTTATTAAGGTCACTTTGTAGTGAAGTAATATCAGTTAATGAATTTATTGTTTTCACCAGTTTGAGATCATCAGTATACAAAAATGGTGTCGAAAATTTAAAAATATCCGTAATATCATTCAGAAATATATTAAAAAGAATAGGACCAAGATGAGAGCCTTAAAGAACTCCAGATGTAATGTTACATATGTCAGAGGAGAATCCATTTACCACCACGTAAAATTTTGTATTACTCAGATAAGATACAAGCCACTGCAACGTAGAATCACCAAACCTATACATTGCTTACTTTTCGACAAGAACCCTGTGCGAAACTTTATCAAAAGCCCTGCTGAAATCGGTATAAATGACTTCAACCTGCGTATTCGAGTCTATAGCACCAATAACTGCCTCCACAAATGTCGTCAAGTTAGTGGAAGTTGATCGGCCTTTAGTAAAACCATGTCGGTGATCAGACAGGTATTTTTTTAAAGTAATTTTGAATGCTTGGATAAACAAGTGCTTCAAAAAGTTTAGCGATCGCCGACAGAATTGAAATTGGTCTATAATTTCCAACTAGTTCATCATCCCCTGATTTATGAATTGGTAGTACTTTTGTCTTTTTCCATTCACTCGGGATAATACCAGGCTTAGTGAGACATTATAAATTAGAGTTAGTGGAACAGCTAGAGTTTCGGCACAATTTAAGACAAAAACTGGAGGAATCCCATCCGGTCCAGCACCTTTAGTTTTATCTAGGGACTTAAAACAGTTACTGACTTTAGATTCGTCAATACAGAACTTTGTGAAACAGTCAGTGTTATTTACAAAGTCGACAGGAGAGCGGTTATTATAGATATTACATTGATTACTGAAGTGTTATCCTCATACACTGCTTTAAACTGGCTAGCAAATAGGTTGCAGATTCCATCACCATCAGCGCAATATGTATCTTGGTAGTATTAGTTTCTAGACATCTGATGTAATCATTATAATTTAACGAGCTACCTTTTCGGTCCTAACACTCAAACACTAGTTTATCACTCGGATGTCCATATTTCTTAAATCTCTTGCGGACCTTTTCCTTTTCGGCAAGAATCCTAATGACTGATCTACAAAACCAAAAAGGAAAATTTTTGTTTTTAGGTTTAGTAAGTGGGACAAAATTACGGATAGTTTGATTAACAAACATGTAAAAATTCGAAACCATTTCATTGACATCAGTGGCTAATGCACATAATCTTCCGAATCAAAATTTGCTAAGTATTTGTTTATGGAGGCATAATCCGTCTTATGAAAGTTAAATCTGAGGTGGTCATGATAATTAAGTTGTTCCTTACCCGCCAGAGGAAGGACGATATGAAGAGGAGGATGTAATGGATGTACTTTACTCAATACTTCGCTGGATTTATTAACTATACAGGAGGGTACATCTGCCATTACGAGGTCCAGAATCCTACCACTATCGTTTTCTATAAGATTGTGTTGCTTCAGATGGTTCAAAATTCTTTGCCTTTTTAACTAGCCGAGCAGCCGCATGTAGGTCTTTGTTTGCAGGGAAGAGATGTTCGGTAACAAATGTCGAATCCTTTGAATTATTGATTCCCAAGTTGCATGGGAATTTTTGTAAGTTTAATCTGTTTTACGGTATGTTATGTTTATTTATGAGTGCACTTGCTAATATTAAAATATTAATGAATAATAAATTAGTAATTTTTAATGCTCATAAGTTTTTCGTTATAAACAGAACACGTATAGAATACGATGCACATTTTAAAAATGGTTTTAATTTCGTTTGCAAAAAATTAAATTTTGAAAAATAAATTCCGAAATGAAGCCAGCGTCTCTGCCGCTCGACCCAAGCAAAATGAAACTTATTAGTACGAGAAAAATTTTAATTCAAGCTGAGCTAGTATCGACACCTTTAAGATTCACAGAGGTCACACGTCATAGGTGCGAACGCGCACAATACGTTTATATTTTACTCATTCTGCATTGGTACTCACGCGACCCCGGTCCGCCGCGAGAAACTGACGCGACGGCTTTTGGCGGTGTCTGTTGGGGTGGCTACATTGAACTCCAACTCCGAGAATGGCGCTCGCGGCGGCCTGTAACTCTTTAGTATGGAGGACCTGCGTTTTCTCCTGAAATAAAACGAAAAAATATGTATTGTTGTATTGTTCTCTTTTTGTGAAGTAGCTCCTCTAGTTTGCTATAATTATTAAATACGAAGAAAAAACTATCGATCCGACAGGACCACGGAATTCTGTCTCCATCGCTCATAGAGAAATAAATGTATATTTCTCCCAGGAACCAAACCCGGGACCTCTGCGTGGTAGACCAGCATGACAACGATTTGGCCATAGAGGCAGTGTATTATTTGAAGTTCAGGTAAATTAACATCCTCGCCAAATAAATGTGCAAAAGTAGTTTTATATTTTTTATTAGGTTCTATTGCCTACCAATGTATAAATAATGTTTTTCACATGAAACAAAAAAGAGAATTTTTTAAACATCGGGTGGTTTTTGACATTTGAAAGTGAGGAAGTTACCACTTCAGCCTCTCTTAGTCATTGAACACATGCATTCATTTTAGTCTCCTGATGTTGCCAACATCAACAGATGAGTATTGACCGACCCCTGTGTTTATGTCTATACAGTTCCATCTCTTCTACAATTATTGTTGGAATTTCAAGGCATTTGTTAAAAAAGGTAAATAATATATTTTAATGTTATTGTTATGTTTTAGTGAGGAGAAACATAAATATAGAAACTTTCATTTACAGCGTAACAAACAGGGGGCGGCGTTGATGAAAGACCTGCAGATTATCAGAACATCCATGGTCGGGGTGACCATCACAATTACATTAAAATTACTATTACTATTTCTTAAATCAGTTCTGTCCAGCAACGCTGTCCAGACATGTAGGCTATAGTTTAAGTTACAATTTACATAGTTGTGTAAAAGTTCCTAAATAATAATTTAAAAAAAATTATGAAGTAAAAAATACAGATTGTGGAATAGGCTTAACAAAAGAGAATGCAGAAGTCTACATAATTTATTTTATTTTATTTATTTTTTATTTATTTGTTTATTTGTTTATTTCGGGCCATATGACCCATATAATGTATACCTTAAGGACTAACATACATACAATATAATAAAACACTATTGCTAACTAATCTACACGAATTGCACTTGTCGGCGACGTGTGGCGCAATCTGGTGTCAGGTAACCGACCGCGGAACTTCCGATGTAAGACACCCTTCGGCTAAAATTCTTCCTTCATGAAGGTCGACAGATTTTAAAATGAGGATATGAATTAACGTCAAACACTCTTTACATAGACTAAACACAATATTCACCTCAAAAGGTCCTACATATCGCCGTTGTACTGGGAGAAACAATTATTTCACAAAATATCTAATGATGATAAGGCGCAACTTGCGAGAGAGTGAGGCACTGCTATCCTCAAACAGAGATCAAGTGCTTTATGTCGGTCTTGCGCAAGTTGCGCCCTGTAATGCTTGTCCTACAGGAACCAGTGAACAGGGTGACAAAAAGGTGGGATGATGATGAAGGTAGACAGCATTGTCACAAAGTCAATTAGTTGTCATCATTTTCATTATACATTCTTTCAAAATAAATCCAGCAGGTGCAGAGTTATTGAAGTTTTTAAACTTATTTTTCCTGTAAAAGTGGTGTTTTGATATTACACGAGTATTTACCGGAGTCGTTGAAATATACACCACAAATTCCGATGGACCTCTGGCAACATGTGGGGCAGAATAGGTAAATATACTCTGATGTATATCAACAAACCATTGAACTATTTACTTTAAACAAAGTCTCGTTTTACGCGACGCGTAACTTGGTGTAACAGGCTGGTGTCCGCAACTCGACGTCGAGGCGTCTATTTTATGATTCTATTCCGTGAACGTCAAAGTTGGAAGAATCACTGCTATGTTGAGACAAATTGACGGTCTCTGAGGGGATTTTGCATACGTTCAAATGACACTTTGCTCAGTTTAATTGGAATAAAATATGTGGTCAGCATAGAGCAAATTAATTGCTGGTTACTTACAGTTTCGTGTGTTAAAGTTTTAAAAATTTATACATTGTAAATATTAGAGGGGAGTGGGCATTGGCTATGAAACCAATAGTACCAATGAATTCAAGAAACCTAATTTTACAATAGCTACATCCGTCTAGTCGATGGCTTTAGTGAGCTATAAACACAAATTTTACTCGTGTTAGAGTAACATATTACAAAGAAATGTGATACAGACGACGTATCATTACAAACTTACGTTGCAGCTGCGTCTGAAGCACGACTATTTGTTGTATCATCCATGTTTTAACATAAAATCACTTAAAACTAACTACAGTCTACTCATAATCAATATATAGGTAATAATTAAAATACAAACAAAATCGAAAACAAGCACAACAAACGGTTATTCGCGTTCAAATTCGTTTGACAGTTGTTTGAATTTAGCTTTTTAAAGTCTATGTTGCCATTAATAAAATATATTTTATAAGATTTTTTTTGTATTTGCAGCAAAAAATCAAATCTCTAAACTCTTAACAGTAGCTTTGGAACCAAAAACCAGAAATAAGTTTCATTTGAACCAAGTAGTAACCTTGCAAGTTTAGCATAATAATCATTGCAATTACTTAAGTATTATACAAGTTATTCTAAAAATAGCTAAGAATTAATTTTTTAAATGTACTTACAAAATCAAGACGACTACAAGTGCTGTAACAGTTAAAAGGGTTGTATACAAGGAACAGATTATGAGCCAAATGAGAACGACGGCATAGTCTACTCTCACTGCTCCAGACATCAGCTGAAGCTACAACTTTACATCTTTTAATTGATTTTTAATTATAAATGACATGCTTAGCAACATTTACTTAAAATTTTGTTGATTTTTTTTGTCACTAAAAGCGTGTTGGATAAGTTTGTATGTATGAATGACAATTCCTCTGTCAGGTTTTATGAAATTTTAATCCAACCAAAGAGAGCAAAGTACCAGCCAGGAAAAATATATTGTATTTTGTTTGTGAAACTCACTGAAACTATATTTATTTAGGTTACTAAATGGTAATCAGCAATATTAACAAAATTACTAACATTATAACAGTAAAAACATATTTAAAAAAATCAAAAGACTTGTCATGTGAGCTTGGCTTTGCACGGGCTTTGCCTTCGCAGAAAAGAAGATTTTTCATAGCAACATCTAGCGTCGAATAGAATTACTACTACTATTCAACAATAGATGGCAGGGGCATGAATTAAATCGTTTTGTTGCTGCGTACCACTTTACAATTTTCGAATATTATGAATGTTTGAAAAATTGTTTCAAACAGAATTATCTCTATCATTCTTTATTGGACTATCATATTAGAAAAGCTTGATATTTGTTCTTGTATAGTAATAAAAAAAATTGTAAAGAAGTACTCAAAGTTTTGTTTAATACAAAACAAAGCGTTATACAATAAAACGCACAATTGTCATATGACTTTGACTGTACGGTTCTGCCAACATCATAAACTTGTCCTCCATTTTAGTGCACCTGATGTTTTGATGGAGATATAATAATTTACGAAAATATCGTAAATACTATCTCAAAATGGGTTATTCTGTTCTTCCAATTGCTGTTTTCACCATCCTGTGGGGTGTAGTGGGTATTGTTTGCCCCTTCTTCGCGCCTAAAGGACCCAACAGAGGGTAAGTTTCCGATTCCAGCTTGACTCATAATTCGTGATAAAATTCTTATAATTTAACGTTATTTTACGTGTTAATTTCAGAATAATCCAGGTGGTGTTAATGCTAACTGCAGCTACATGCTGGTTATTGTAAGTTTAATTTTTCATTTCAAATTAGTTATTCGCAAATATACGTCATTTTTTATTTTATGTCGTGTTTCATCTCTCTTGGACTAAAACTTACTAAATACTACACAATGGCGTGCTTAAATATCATAAAGTTATTATTTAAATATAATCGTCATGTTTAGAAACTGAAGTTAACCTTGCAAATGGTCATAATTTTTTTTGACATCGTTAAGTATGTATGCAGTAAAGGAATTTACCAAATTATCCTCATTTAAAAAGAAAATTTCACATTTCCAAACACGTGACCCAGTCATATCGCATTGTTAATACAATGTGTACAGTGTATTTACACAAAAAGAGGAGTTTCTCAGAATTGATGAAAAACGAATTACTCACTTCCCGCAAAAAAAAAAACATTGAAATGTATATGTTATAGTTTATTAGAGACACATAAACAATTTCTCAAATATATTTAAAAATGAAATTGAAAAAATAATTTCATGTTTTTGAATAAGGATTATTTTGGCCAGAAATAGCTCACATAAAGTGTGTCTCAGTTTTGAGTTAAGTAGATATCTTTTGTTTCTTACAATTGTAATTGTAAGTCAATGCTTACAATATTCTAACGACAGTTTTTTTAAAGAGTAGAAAATCAAATTTTACGTTCAGTAATGATATAATATTAAATTTCACATATTATGAGTTACAACACTTGTAATAGCAGTACGATTATGATTGTTACAAAAAAACTCTGATGCTCAGGCCATACAGAGGCGGCCTCGGAAGCATTCCCGGGCATGGGAATTTTTGTAATGTACGAGTTCATATGAACCCTGCCACACCGAAACGCGCGGCGGCCGCCTCTGTGTGGCCAGAGCATTGTTCATCAAGTTATTCATTTATTTTGCATCATCCATGTCACAATATTACAATTTAAAATACTATGTCCAAGAATAATATGAACGCTACTAATTTATAATAGTTTAAATATAACACATTCGTATGTCTACATGTAGATACAAGGAGTAGCATGGAGTGGTTAATATTGCCAAATATTAATAACGTTTTTAATTCTGGATTTCCATATATTTTAATTAATAGCATGTAATACAATTTTTTTATGGTTTAAACTTACATGGACACATACACAAAACTTAGCTGGAAAGGCATATCCAATTTGTTCAAGGGAACATACTATAAACAATATCTTAGTTGTTTAGGTTCTTAGAAAAGTGTACCTAACTCATCTCTCATGTACTTTATATGGACAGGCATAAGTGTCCAGATGTGTACAAAAAAGAGGTTTTTGTGATAAACCAAAATAGGTAACCTCGCAGTTTATGACCTGTAATTAAATGTTGTGTTGATGTGTTTTACAGCTGGCTGTGTGCATACATGGTGCAAATGAATCCCCTTATTGGACCTAGACTAACCAACGAGACTCTCATCTGGATGGCACGCACTTGGGTAAGACAATACAAACTTTGTTACTTATAAACAGAGATCTATATAAATTGTATACAAGGCAGTAACTGTAAAGCTGGAAAAAAAAACAGATATTAATGTACTTGGTACTTGGTGCAGTGGGCTGGTATCTGCAACTCGACGACAAAGCGCCTATTATTGTATTTTATTCTATATTTTTTTAAATTTTCAACAAGTATAAAACAATTTCAATTTGATTAGATTTTGGAAGACTCTCAGTATCAATAAGAGATGACATGTTGAAATCTTTATCTTAACACGTTCCATTTTTATCGATTATATTCAAAACAGAATCGATAAAGATTTGGTATGTACATAACGTCTGACAAATCAAAGGCAGCACTTTATATGAACTAAAACTATAAATCACTGAATGACGCGTTCCATTAAACGCAGTTTTATTTCAGTGTATAAATACAAATTGTATTAATGATTGTAACGAATACTATGATGTTTTACTATAATCTGTCTTTTGAAGATGGAGTATGATGGCATTTACAGGGTTGCCAGTTTTCATAAAATTTATATAGTCATGTTGTTGTTGTCGTCAGTTTTGTCTGAACTGTGAATGTTACTGTTTTAATAACGACAGGGGGATATAATTAAAATGAAATACTTTAAAAACATGTTCCTATATGTATTTTTTATACATAGTTCTAAATTCAGTGCATCTATGTATGAATTTTCAAAAATTGATTATTCAATTGAACCTGACCCAGTTGCTCGAATAATGGGCCGATGATGATTGAAATCAAACATTGGTTATTTATTTCATAAGCGTAACTAACATTTTTTTTGGACTTTTCATACAGTTGGGCTAATTATTGCCTCTACTCTCACTTAGTTCAGTTGTCCAGTTCAGTTGATTGAACTAATGACATTTATTTCCTCATTTGTTCAGTTAAAAATAAAACAAGCTTTTGCCCCTGGTTTATAGTCCATTTTTTTAGGTACTTAACTAAATGTAAACAATCTTGATACATCTTTTTATTGAAACATATACTTTACAAATCAATAGGTATAAAAATAGGCACGCAATTTCATATGAAACTAAGTATTTGTATTTTGTATTTGAAGGTAAGTAAAAATCATTCTAGAAATGTACATTTCATTAAATAGACTTAATCAAGATTGTTTACATTTAGTGAAGTACCTAAACAAATGGACTACAGTTTTTTTATTCCCTCTATTCCCACTAGTTCAATTATCCATCCTCTCTCTACACTAGTTCTGTTGTCCAGTCCAGTTAGTTGATTGAACTATACAGAGTTTCTATCTTGTTTGTACAGTTGAAAATAAAACAAGCTTTTCCCCATTTGAATGGGGCCCAAAGTTTCATCAGTTCAGCCAAATGGGAAAAAGAGGTTCGTAAGTTCAATCAACTGAACTGGACAACTGAACTAGTGGGAATTATTGTACAAAAACATTAAAAATATTAAATATGAATATAAATTATACAGGGTTAATTTAAAATATTAAAAACCTCCCAGTGTTACTTTCTAGTATTTGAGCTTTTTTGTATCTTACCTGTATATTATGAAAATAAAATAAATATTATTAAAAAAAACCTTGCAGGACTGTATTACTAACAACGTAAACAACCTCTTTTGTTCCATGACTTTGTACAACGACATAATAAATTTACCAAATACAAACATTTAAGATTTTTTAAATAAAAAATAACGGGCACACACTCTTAACCCCGCACTAGGGAAACTATGGACACACATGGACAGACAACCACAAATTACACCCACACTCACAAGAACTATAAATGTAGGCCATACAAAAATTTCTCCCGACCCGGGAATCGAACCCGGGACCTCTGCGTGGCAGTCCAGTGTGGGGGCCTTTCGGCCACAGAGGCAGTTTTTTTTGTTGTACTATCTGACAAATTTTTAGATTTGTATTTAGTAGGAAAGTTCAAAAAGTTAAAGTTAACTTCTTAATAACACAGCATCTTAAATAAAAGGAAGACCATTTAACGTGTAATTTAAAATTTAAAGAATTTAACATGCAATTTGAAATTTTGTTCAGGAAAATGAATAATCCTTTTCTCGCGGCGGATTCGGTTCCCATTTCAGACAGTCTGTCATTATTTAAAAATCTTTGAATGCAGTTCGTATGGTTTTCCAAATAAAAATGAGTCTTCTTTTAGTAAAAAAACTTTCTATCTACGGTGTTTAAGGCACTTTCCCTCCGTGTGACATAGCCGTGGTCTGTATATTATAATCGAAATAAATTATTAATTTATAGTGTTTTGTTTATATTTTTTATCTTTATGTCATTTACTTGATTACAATATGCGTAACACCTGATTTTTCACGTGGACTAACAGGGGTCGCCGTAGCAATTGATATATTGTTTGCGTGACTACAAATACATCGATTTATCCCTCGACCAAATGGACACATCGTATTAACCATAGTATAAGACAAGTATGGTAACTTCATACAAACGTAACAGCGTGGCTTGTAGGTGTGCGCGCCCGCCGGGCGGTACTTAAGGCCAGATCAACGCGAGCCTATATTTTACGAGGTTAGGTGTGGAGGATTACGCTTCATATCCCGCAATCCGCGCGCTGTAAATTAATATGAAAAACACAGGAACACCTGATGGCGACTGGCGGGAAGCGGACAGCGAGCGTGTCGTTAAACCGCTGAACAATTTGCAAATTTTGGGATAAATGTCTCCATATAAAAATTATGTACAAAGTTAGATATTTTATTCTTAAGTAATTACTAATAATAATACGAATTTATTTCGGAGCCCGGGCCATAGATTGTTAGTAAATTACAAAATACTTAAGTCTAAGGGTTAGTTACGCAATACAAACACAGCAACACAAAAATAAATAAAAATTAACAATACAATGAGCGAACATCGGCGAATATATTATATAGATATTATTCACAAAAAAAAAATTTTCTTAAAATAAATATTATTAAATTTGTATTGAATAGATATTCAATTATTTTTTGTGAAATTACTCCAATAATCTCTGTTCCAATCCATTTAAACAACAAGTAAACAAACCTGTTTGGTTAAAATTCTAAAGCAATCACTCAACGTATCGAATAAATAACACTTTCACGTATATTTCAAAGGATATCTCTTTTTTCCAACAATATTCATTGGAATAGCATCGGAAAATCGTATTTGAAAAATAGTTGTCCAAAAGTGATTTAGTGAAGTTTATTTTTCAACTATATACGTACTTCTGTTATTTGTCTATGGTTGCATAGTGTTATACGAAAAAAAAATTCGGTTCATTCAATTAAAGTTTTTGTAATCGATTAGTAAGTCGAATATTTTAATCTCATCAACAAATCAATCGAACGAGTATCTGAGTGTAAGGATTTGAAGAATTCAAAATTAAGATTTCGTAAATTTTAAATATATGCTTTTATAGGTTATGTATTTTCATTTAAGGAAAACTGCTAGTATGACTCAATAAAACAAATCGATTAATTCAGTTAATTAATCGATTTGCAGTTGGCATTACAATTCGGCATCACTAAACCGTCAATGGTCGGGTCAGTGGCTTGTTTATTTTTTGTTTCAAATGGATTGAAACGAAGTATCGTTTGTTATAACTATTAATTAAGCATTAGTTGGCATAGCGTCTGGCACGGTTTGCTTGGAGACGTCGGTTCGAATCCGGCTGGATCGAAAAAAAGTTTTTCTAAGTGTTCGACCTCTGTATTAAATAATTATAAATAACATTTTCATAAAAGTACTGAGACGTTACTGTAAGAAAGTGAATCTTTTTAAACTGTAGTAGCAGTAGAGGTCCTTGTGAAAGAGTTCGTCCAGGGAAGTACTGCCACCTTACCTATTTCTGCCGCCATGCAATAGTGTCAGCATTACTGTGTTCCGGTTTTGAAGGGTAAGGATGCTGGTGAAATTACAGGCACATGGGACTTGTCAACTTCTGTCACAGGGTGACGGGTGCAATGGCAGTGCCCCTCAGATCTTTGCGACTTATAGGTCTGAGTGGCACTGCAACCGTTATGGACAGGCGTATAGCTTATGCGCACGATGTGTTCGTACCGTCACTTGATATCGTAAAAAAAAATCTCCCAAAGAAGTTGCACTACTTGTCTTATTAAGCTGTGGTGTAACGTGGATGTGGAATGCGGTCGGAAGCAAGCAATAAAATGTATTTACGATGCCGTGCACGTGTCTCTTTGCGCTAGTATTGCACACTTGCCAAGTGCATTTTAAAAGGCATTCTTTATATGTAGATGTACATGTGCGGTATTTCAATCCAAGGTTACAATCATTGTTCTAGACGTAAACATGTATATGTACGTCTGTCTCCCACTGGCGTAGGCTGAGACTATGGATCATATTGGACAGTATTTCATACACGTTTATATCGACGGTTGAAATTTGAGGGATAACTTGTATAACTGCCTCCGTGGCCGAACGGTTACCATGCTGGTCTGCCACGCAGAAGTCCTGGGTTCGATTCGCGGGCCGGGAGAAATATTTGTATGGCCTACATTTATTTCTCTCGTGAGTTTGGGTGTAATTTGTGGTTGTCTATTTGTGTGTCTATGGCACCCGCCATACAGGGTTTCCTTAGTGCGGGGCTATGAGTGTGTGCATCAAAAAAAAAATGTCTCTTAGGACATTTCAAATTTCCATTGTCGATGTTGTCGATTTTGTCGATGTATCGAATTTTCAAATGTCGTAACGGACATTTGACATTTTTATAGTAAGGGACATTTTCCATTACGACAAAATGTTCTTTACAACATGTCAATTTCCACCGTCGATATATATTTTAGTAACAGCAGAGCTCCTTGTAAAAGCGTTCGTCCAGAGAATTACTGCCACCTTACCTATTTCTGCCGCCAAGCAGTAATGTGAATATTACGTTACGTTTTTAAGACCCCGAAACTTACCTCTTTCACAAGGTCCTTCATTGCTGTTTAATTGGGAACTACTGAATTACATATTATGTACATGCATAT